AGCATAGTTGTCGGTACACTTTTTCCAAATGGTTCAAAATATAATATTTTTTCATTTCGAATTTTGAATCTATTCCTAACGGCGATTTCAGACATACAGATTTAATTTTTCTAATCAAAATACACACTTAAGGCATTAAGTTCGAACAAACGCAGCTTGCGAAAAGCTTGGTTTTCCTCTAATTTACCTAAATTTATTTGCCCGCTCACTCCTGTTTCGTTTTTTGTCTTCAACATGTTATTTGAACTAGATGCATAATCATGTATATTAACGTCCTCTTTAGAATATACATAATTTTTTACAATTTAAAGCGCGTTTAAGAAAATTGGGTGCCTCACTTAAACAAGGTCTCGACCAAGATAATATTTTTAAAGGAAACAAAATTATAAATATATTCTTCTAATTGAAACAACTCCTTTTACTATCTATGAGCTGATAAATAAATAATAATGTAGGGCTGATTTAAATTATTTGTTTGGTTGAGGTTTTTGATTCAAATTTGACCCAAATCACTGGTTTCTTGAGAAATATGAGGCTCTTATTGCAATATCTGTGGCGAAAAGATCACAACTGAAACTAATCACTGATGATCACAATTGAAATCATGTTCATGTTAGTATTGTGCTTTTCGTATATTTGAAAAGTTTTAATTACTCATTAGAGCTATCTAAACTGATAGTGTGCACGTAAGCAAAATAAATTTTCTAAAGCTGTAAAATACAAATTAAATACATATTGCGAGACTGAGATGAGTTTCTCTAAAACGATATATTCCACACGAATTAAAAAATTTACTGGTGCATAGCAAAGTAATGCGCAACATACTAACTAATTTGAAAACATAATTAATGCAGGAAAGGAATTATTTTAAAAATTAACCATTATATCCGACATCTAGTTCTACTTTCTGATTCCGTACACCAACCGAAAACCACCAAGATTGTGAGCAATTTCACCCAAATCAAATCAAAATCGCTCGTGATGAACCTTATGGTGTGTGAATCTGGCTGCTACTTGCACTTTCTCTTAAAAGTTAACAATGACGCTTTATTTGCATCTATTAATTTTGGTGAAATGAGTGGCAAAAGCGCCTAAATATGTATTTATTTGAATTGTTAGTTTTAATACTATTCAAAACATAAAAATAAGTTAAATATTATCGAAAAATATCTAAAACAGTTGTGGTTCAGCTTGAAACGCTTAAGCTTCATTATTTTTAATTTTGAAGTATTACGACCGTAAAGTAGCAATTTGTAGCTGCCTTGTTTGCAAATGTTGTTAGATTTAAAATAGCATTAGCTGGTATTTCATTAAAGCCTCCCGGATTTTTCAGAGAGCACGGAGAAAAGAAATTGATCTTCTTTTCATCTGGTGAGCCTTCGTTCTTATAAATTTGCTAAGTTAATAATAGCACTTGCCAGTTGGCAATAGAATGATTGTTTTTATGAAAATATTTGTAAAACAGAATTACAGAATTCCATAAAAAATTAATTCGAAAAACGTACCTCTAAATAAGTAATGACCTTAGTTACCTGCCTACAGCTTACTATTATTTATTATTCTTTACAAAGAGCCAAAGTTTTATTATTACTGAGCCAACTTTGTTATTGCTGAGGGTCGTTTTGCAAAACTGCTAAATTATTTTGAGCGATTCAGAAATGATGAAATTTCACAACTTCATTTAAATATCCACTAGTCAAAAGACAAATATTTCTAATCTCTGCAATGTATGGCTATTTTTGATGATGGTGAAAAATTACAAACACAATTAAGCATAACTGGCATAATGCGGGGATACTTGTTTATAACAAAATAAACAAAAGTTCGATGGACTCTTTAGACTATTTCCAAGTGGAAAATTAAGCGATTTGCAATAGTCCAACTTAACATTAATCATGGACAAATATAATACATAACTAGTTGTTAAAATGTAGTTAAATAAAAAGACTAGAATTTTTACATTGATAATTGCGAATTAAGAATTGCATAGAACCTATATGAAAACTAATTAATTCACATGATTACGTACTAATATCAAAGAACAAATTCAAATAACGTCATTATCTCAAACTATATCGCTTTAATTTAAGTAGTAATTGCTTGTAAAAGAACATTATAGCAATTTTTCCTGTTTTCACTCTTGTTCAATGGTTTATTATAAAAAGTCGGCCTTGATGAATATGGGTATTATATTCATATTTAGTTGTTCAATTTTGTTACGTAAGTTATTTGAAATATTTCCACGTTTAGCAAGTTTAAAACAAAGCACTGCCACCTCAATATTTCATAAACAAAAACAGAAAATTTCATTTAATTATGTCGCGATTATTAAAACGCTTACTTGATTATGTCCCTTTTGCAAATATTATGAATTTACATCTTAAAGTATCATTATATGCATCACACTTAGGACTATTTCAGTACATGTGTATGTTAATTAGACTACGATAAATCAAATTAGAAAGAATGCAAACCTGTTCACCCCAAGTAAATATGCTACTTTCAAAACCGTTTCAAGTAAATGCATCTATTTGCAGTACGGTTAGCAGTATGGCACCATGAATAATTTCTCGATAAAAACCGTTCTAATCTCGTCAGATAATAAGTCTAATCAAATGCAAACTACCTACTGATCGAGATTCTAATCTAATCTTCGTTCGGTTAAATCTGAAAAACTGTAACGCTTTAATTAGATCCAATCTAATTGCATTAATTGGAACGCATCAAGAGTTGCTCATAGGTGCTTGTTAAGAGGAAACATTTTTGATCCGTATAATTATATTTTCTGATGAAGAAATTTGATCTCTTGTTAGGTGGAAAATTATAGAGAACGTGTTATCTAATAGCTGTTTGGATCTTTTATACGAGAAACTGCAATAGAATGGAGCAATGAATATTTCAAAATAAAATAACCCAGTTTTGATGAATATTGTCTACTAATATAGAAGTAAACTGAAAAACTGATCGAAGATTTGAGAAAGTGTTACGTTTTAATTGGAAAATAAACTTAAAATCTTATACAGAGAAAACCAATATTATAATTATAATAAGTGAGTGGTTTTGGCAGCATTTACCTTTGCTGGAAAATTTAACGAATTATTTGAGTAGTTAGTAATTAAAGGGTTTCCACTTATTTTATCGTTTTGTACGCAAAACTACATTGCGGAATAGTTTAAAGATGGACTGCAGGGAAACCACTAATCAAGTTTAAGCAAGTTTGGGATAGTCAAAGGAATTACTTCGTTCGTGCTTGAGGCCTCAAAAGAAGATTTTGTAAGAAAAGTAATAGTAGTGAAGCCATTGTATAAACCGTCATTCAAAGCATTTGAATTGTTTAGAAGATAAACAGTTTTTTTTAAATATCAATTAATATTAAAAGGCGCTAAATTTTACATTAAAATGATCGAAATTTATGGCAGCAAATATTATTATTTCTCTTGTTGTTCATTGAATGTTGGTTGCAGTAGATTGCTTGAGAGGAGACAAATAAAAGATGCGTCTGATAAAAATGTTTCTAAAATATTAGGAAATTAAAAAGAACACATTCATGGTTGTAGGTATAAATAAAAAGACGAAAAGTTGTATTGGGATACTAATCTGATATACATTTGAATCAAATAATTTTTTGAGAGAACGAGAGTATGCTTAGTTAAGAATCTCCTCGACAATATCTAGCTATTTTTCGTATATATCAAAGTTTTGAGCGACAAAGTTTAGGTGCGAAACTGAAGAAAATGTCAATAATTATTAACAGAGTCATTGTAGATTAATTTTTAGGTTTTAAAATTATCAGCGGTTCGTTAAAATTGTAGGAAGAAATTATCACTGAAAATTATGTGATTTGTTAAAAATATAATGTATAATATATAATTAAATAAAAAATAAGAGAGACAAATCCAAATTGGAAATGCAAATGACTGTATTGAGCTTTAACATAATGTTTTTTTTCTCTAACCAGATGCTAAAAACAGTTGCAAAACACTATAAAATTTACGCCATTGAGACATCCACATTTAACGCAAATAAAAATGATAAAATTTCCTTTTTTCTATACATTTTATCACCGCTTAATTGCAAATCTGTGAATTAATGATAGCATGGCCAGACATTATTCTTCTCCATACTTCCATGGATGGTTTCCCCAAAAGGCGGTATATCTCAATTTAAAAAAATAAAAAGGTATTAAATTGATTGATGTCTACTAAATAAGAAATTATTTTTATTTAAAACTTATAGATACTCTCAGTACCAGTTTGCAATCTAAGATCTCCTATAAATGTTAAACATTTCATTTATATAAAATTTATTTTAGTGATTAGACTGACATCTTTGCTATCTAGCAAGCTTGTTTAGGTTAGTTAAAATATATTTTCCGATGGAAAATATATGAGCCAATCAATTATTTCCTGAAGTTTTATTTGAACCGCCATGTTATTGTTCAACTGCAGCAATTTGCTAGATTTTTTTATGGCTTTTACCTACGAGAGAATGATCGATTTTCTGCAAAAGAGCAAATAATTAAATAATTCCGTTACTTGCAAACTTTTCTTAATTACCTGCTTAGTTGCAAAACAATTTGAATTCAACATTCCCTCTTGCTCAAACTGCTATCAAAATTACCCGAAAATAATTAGTAGGCTAAATTTATCAAAGAACACGATTTAAGTGAAGGGCTTTAAGCGATCTTAAGTCATATGTCCTGATTTTAGTCAAATAGAACGTAAATTTACTTTTTAGGCTTCAAACTACATACCTTTCTCATTTTGTAATTAAGCAGATTGTGATGAGAAAGTATTCATAAATTATTTCCAAATTTGAATACTTCATATTTAGCATCACTAGTATTTGATAAATATTTGTCGCGTGCATCATAATAAATCGTACATTAATTAATAAATCATGGAACGGTTAAAATACTTGCAAAATTCAGCCGATAGGAAAATGAACCGTTGCTTTGATAAATATTTTCAAAACATTTTATATACCTTTTTTTATTTCAGCGCTAATACTCAGATGGACAATGACGTGACACCAGTTTATTTAGCTGCCCAAGAAGGCCATCTCGATGTCCTCAAGTTTCTCGTTTTAGAAGCAGGAGGTTCTCTATACGTGAGAGCCAAAGATGGAATGGCTCCTATTCACGCTGCTAGCCAGATGGGATGTTTAAATTGCGTTAAATGGATGGTAATATTTATTAAGCAACAATTTTCAAACTAGACACTTTCACTGGCGACTATTCAAAAATTGAACTTTGCAGATTCAAGATCAAGGTGTCGACCCTAATCTGAGAGATGGAGATGGAGCGACTCCATTGCATTTTGCCGCCTCCAGGGGTCACTTGGATACTGTGAGATGGTTGCTTAAACACGGCGCAAGATTGAGCTTGGATAAGTTTGGAAAAAGCCCCATAAATGATGCTGCTGAAAATCAGCAAGTAGAAGTAAGTGGTTCTTGTTTTGAAGAAGAAATCTTGAGTTCCTTCGCAATAAATGTGAAGTGGAAGAATTCGTCTCAAGAGCTGGCTATTTAAGGTCAAGTCTTGCAAGTTTCTATTTCCCCTGTTTTCTCTTTGCCAGTTTACCTTTAAGTTTTTTCATTTTATTAAAAAACCTGATTGCACTTTATGCAAGATAGTTGCCTAAAGATGACCTTTTAAAAATACTCAAATTTGTCTGAGTCGGCTATTTCATGACGGTGTGTTGTGATTCAACTGTCTGCATTAATTTACAATTAATTAATTTCTTTAAGAGCGTGAAAAAGTAATGTGTTATTAAATAATGTACATATATTGTAATTATTATTATTATTGAATTATGTATCAATAAACTTTGTATAACGCAGCAAGGTTTTCAATTATCAGCAGTCAATTTCATTTAAAACAAATTGTTTTTTGTAGTGGCACTTATATTCGAATTTCTGCAAAAACCGAGTCTTCTTTAATAGCATTTTTTTTCAGTGTCTGAACATCTTGGTGCAACACGGTACCACTCCAGATTATAACGATTCTGATAGACCCAACAACGGAAAAAGTTGTTCTTGTGCAAGAAAAGGAGATCACATAAAACGAGTAAGCAGAATAAGAATAAATTATTTTTTTGCAATTAGTCGTTCTTCATCAATTAAATGCTACAAGGCCAGTTACGAGACTAATCTCCAATTACTTACCGGTTGCCAGACAATCTTTTCTGTGGTTTTTGAACCGATACCATCTATCCAAGTGGTAAAATAAATAACTCAATAGCAAAAGCCCGTTACCCTTCCCATGATTTAACAAAGAAACTTAAATTTAGTTATAATGTTAAATAATAACTGTTTTTCTACTAAAAATATTGATATGTTTTTTCAACTTTCCAAGAATTATTCTGTGTTTTAAGTGTGTGTTCTCTCATTTCTCTTTCAAACTGGGTTAGATGGAGAACAGTCAAAATGTGAAAAGCAATATTTGTTTTTTTCTGTGTGATAAAATATACAGTTTTATCAAATCTGCAGGGCGTTATGCACTAGGCAGGAGCAGTGTTACTAAGTGAAGTTTCAGATACTCGAAAGGTACCTAACAAATCATGAAGATTTGAGCAAGCTAAACTAAATTAATTAAAAATCATCACAGATAATTTTGAGGGGTAAATAATGTATTTTATTCTTGTAAAAGCAGGATTTTGCAAACGAAACGTGTTGGGCAATATATCGTCTAAAAGCGGCAAATTGAATAAATTTGCCATTGAATTGAATTGAATTTGTATTTGAAGATCAAAATAATGCATGAAATTGTCTCCTTTCCGGATCGCCAAAAAACATATTTCACTGCCTTTTGACCCTCTGGACTCATAAAACAGCTGCACAAACTATATACTGAAATATTAACGTATCTATTTGCCTGAACGCATATTCAGGTCACAATAAAATCTTCTACAACCGCATTAATCTGACCAGTTTCTATTACCACGAACAATCGTATAATCGGCCCAGAACTTTTGAAATATCTTCCTAGAACTCTTTGTATGCTGTAATAAAACATTTAAAGCATCAAAAATGTAAAAATACACCAAAAAACAACTTGAAATTGAGGAAACTACAGTAATCATACGGGTAAACATCCATAAGTCTGCTGATAGAAAATGTTTCCGTGATAGCACTGTATTTATGAAATACTAGAAGAAGAATAACTTTAGAGCATTCTATAATGCACAATTGGGCCAAGACTAAATATCTTCCGAAAATGCTTTATAGACTTTAAAGCAAAACGTAAAGTCTGCAACAAGAACAACGAAAAATACAAGAACTAACAGTAACAGTTTCCTGAAAACTGCAAGATAACATCGCAAAACTCCCGCTAAACACTATTTAATGAGCACAGTAAACTCGAAGCCCAGATTCCCTCTCGCTAACAATCAAATTATATAATTTAGTATGGATAAAACATTACCTGAGCTAAACTTTTGATTGACAAGAACAAATCGCTGTTATTTCACAACGCGTGAACCAGGGGCCAATTGAATATTCACAGCCTTTCAATTCGCTTCCCACATTTAGCAGACTGATTTTTTCCAACTTGAAATACCTGCACGTACTAATTAAAACAAGTGTTTCACACAAACAAAAACTGAAATCCATGTTAACCAATATCGATTGTTTATAACCAGAAGACATTTGAAAAATTTTAATTTGCTCCTGCTCTCGGTTACCGGTTTAAGTTTTACCGGTAAATCGCATCGTAAAAATGTGCGAATGGGACATTAATAATGTTATGGCATGTTAAGTGTGTTATAATGAATTGGTCTTGAAGTAATTTACAACCGTGAGCACAATTTAGGTCGATATGCAAAAACAGGTAGTTTTCAAAGTAGCATGAATGGGAAAAATGTAATGGTCTCATGCAATAAGTTGCCCAGTTTCAAAAGTTCCACTTCAAAGAAAAATCAAAGTTAAGCTAAAACTAGTTATAATATCAATTAGGTCGTATAATATCAATAAGTATTTTATCTATCCCTATATGCAACACACCAAGTAATTAAGCACACTCTTAATAAACGTAATATAAACTTTGCTAAAAATCTTCCTAGGGAAATAGCACAGGCTCTGATTGCTCAACCTGTAAGCCCAAACAGGCTGTAGGTAACTCAAAAAACTCCAAAAGCTCTTTGGCATCTCTGGAGCCTTTCTATTTACACCCTCCCCTCAATGGTAGGAGCATGGAACCAGCACACGCTCCAGAGAATGGGCTTTATATCAATCCGATGACCAATCATAGACACAGGTAGTGTGAAATAAACATATTTTTTTAATATTTGAGTGCGAAAAAATCCTTTTTTCAGTGCGTCAACTTGCTCAGATACCAGCTCAATAGGAAGTGAGTCTTTCTACCTTCATAATCCCAGTGAAGTGAGCAAAGAAGTGGTGTACAATCGAGTCAAGGGGTTGTTCGATTCGAATGGGGAGCAACGACCAATGTCGGGATTAAAAGGTAATTATCTAGTGAAGATTGGGACAATAGTAGGCGTTCGCTTTCTGTGAAATAATTAATTAATTGAGCACAGCCAGTCTTTTAAAATCGCACAATCAACTCGAGGAACTGAATTAAGTCATGTTGTGATGTTAATCTAGTTTTAACAATTTCCTTTTTTACTTCCTTATTTTAAAGTCCACGAATTTATTCAGATGATTTCAACCGTTGCACATTCGAATTTCCTCATCATATTTGTTAAGAAGTCATAAAGCATGCGAAGCAATTTACAGTTCAACACTACAATGATTATATAATGAGTATGTGTCACACAATGCGATAAGGAAAGTGTTAAAGGGTAATAGTGACAATGCAGTAAACGACAAATATTGTTAAAATTGATTGAAACGGGAATTTTAAAAGCGGAAAATCTGTAATAGAAAACATACTAATCTAAACAACGAAACACAAAATTTGGTGAAAAGGATCGAGTGAAACGCATTTTTGAAAGTATTCCTACAATATGTTTAGGATTTTCAATAGATCCTAATAAGGAAAGAAAATCCATAAAGCCATGCATGAATGCTACCATATTGAACAGAAAATTCAATCAATGCATTTGTTGAATATAAAATAGCGCTTTCCCTTGCGTGGTATTCGAAGACTCCAATATTTGCCATAAATCACGATGTTTTTCTTAGTTAACATATAGAGAAGCATTCGTTGATTGATTGCATTAATAAACAATTAAAAACACGATTTTGATCAGCGATGAAATTCACAGGAATTACTTTCATAACGTTCAAAGCACACTAGTGCAGGAAGAGGAGTTTTAGTAGGAAGTAGTAATAATTATTTCAAGCAGACTGCAATTAAATCACAAAAACAATCTCTTGATTAAAAAAAGGAAAAATGTTCGTACGTGAGGCAGGGGTGCGGAATCTACAACTTTTCCGTCTAATTTCTTGGTTGGTTCAGTTGGTGTGTGATGATTAGTTCACATCGGTTCGATATTTGAAATTGTTTTTAATTAAATATCTAGTGAAAGTGATAAAAATATGAATCTTTCAGTAAAACATTTAGAGTCGACGGTCGAAACGTTCTACTGGGTGATAATACAAGACGAAAGCGAAGCCATTTGTAAGTAAACTTTAGGGTCGGTTAGTAGGAGCGGGAACAAAATGCTGTTAAACCCACTTTCGAATTAAATTTTATGTTTCAAGCGTTGAAATCGGCCACTTTTTGATTGCAATTTGCGCATTAATATTTCAATTTTTATGCAATCAAAAATTTAACAAGGCTTCCATACAGTATGCAGTAAAAATAGGGGAGAGTATGGAAATTGAATGTCTCTTATAAACAAGAATAAATCAAAATACAGCAACAAATAGATCGAATACATGTAATTTACATATAATCATCGAATATTTTTAGTCATTAAAATTGTCTCATAAATTCATTGGAATATTTGTAACGATGATTTCTGCCAATTTCTTACAATTGTTTCTCTTCCTTTTAGTGAAAGTTGAAGTTCATTCCTCATCATCCGGTGCAGGATCTGACGAAAATCTGTCATCTTCGGATTTATCTTCAGTTCGATCGAATGACCACGAAAACGACTATGAGGACATTTACCTCGTTAGAGAAGAAGCACGAAATCAAGAAAGAACTAACATTCATAATATAAATGGACGATCACGATCCAGAGACTCTGGTGAATATTTTTTGCAACACTTTTTTAAATTAAGCTAGTACCGAAATAGGCAACTAAAGCAGCGCAAAAGAAAGTAGTTGCTAATAAAAAATAAAATACTTCTATTGCTATTAGCATAGTAATAATCGAAATTTAAAAAAAATGCAAAGATTTCTGTAGAAAAAATTGATATTGTTTTCAAAGGGCTTTATATATTTTTTTATTGTTCAGGTTCACATAGCAGATCAGGTTCGATCAGCTCATCCAATTCAGGATGTAACGTAATAGTGAAAATGACTCCCAATGGAAACACCAAGAACGGAATATACAAATCTAACGAGTTCCTACCTAAACCTCAGAAAATTGAAAAGTTAACCGACAGAAAACCTATGCAAGATAGAGAGCGAACTTCAAACGTAAGTAGACAAGTTTCATAAAGGAAATTGAAACCGACAATTAAATAGAGTACGTAGTAAACTTACATTGAAAGTCATTCAGATAAGGTTTAAAAAAATAGGCTCTGGAAGCGTTTTATTTACATGTTCATATATATTTAGGGCAAAAACCAAATAATTAACAAAACAGAATATTGCAAATATTATCAAGTCGAGCGGGGTGAAATAGAAAGCTTTGGTAATTTCGCATCAAATATCTATTTACAACATGATTAGAACCAAAAGCAAATAAATGTATTGATTTTTGTCGAATACGTTTATCCCAGTTCCACTTGTTGGTTTTCATTATGTGTGACTAATTACGCATTCATAAAATGCACGTTGGCAAATGAAATAGTCCAATGATTTCACTAGTTTTTAATTTCTGTGCAAGGCCGTTAATGAACCAATCAATTCAACCAGATTAGTTTATTGAAACTGTAACCTGCTAAATTTGTACATTTGTGTGGTCTGAAACTTTTAAACAGTCCGCAAAAGTTATTCAGAAAACCACGGAACCTGATTGGTTGGAGGGTTGAAAAACGATAATTAAAATAGTTAAAACCAGTGTGTGCAGTGAAGTAAAAGTGTAACATTTCTCTGAAATTTTCTTCAGATTTCATCAGTTCCGGTAGAGGCTTCGCCACCTCCACCACCACCTCCACCTCCGAACAACCCCAGCTCACTCATTGACCCCAATGACCCCCATTTGAATGAACCCAGGGGAGCTGAAATCGTCGAAGTGGTTGAAGAACCCACCCTTAGACCTTCGGACATTGTGAAGGGCATGTGCAGAAGTATGTCAGCTCTATGTAAGTAATTTACTATTCTATTACATAATTTCCTTAATTAATAAATATTCTGTCATAATTACCTTTTTCTTACTGTCTAGCAGTTGTTTAATTTACAAAAATATTGATTAAACAATTTGCCAAATTGTCGCCTTTTTCAATTTTTTATATTTTTTTCTAATATAAATGAAGTACATTATTTTGAATGATTTTTGATGATTTTTTCAAACCTTCATTTTTCAAATGTTCAAGCATATTTGCTGATTGCTCATGAATTGGACGATAGGTTTATGAAAATTTACAAAATATCGATTGCGGAAAAATGAATAGTTTCGCCCAGATTATAACAGTTTTTAATTACCATTTTTGCAATAAAACACTTTGAGTCGCTTATTAATTTTAGTGAGTCGCTTCTTAAACTAATTAAATTAATATAAATTTCATTATTATATTCTATATAAGTGGCATTTTCACAATTTATTCGCATATTTTGATTTTTCTTATTCTTGGCATGCAACATCTCTAAATGGGGAGATTTCTGTTCATAAACGTATAAATAAGTTCAGTTTCTTGACCGATATCGAATAATTGCAGTATGGTTGATTTTTCTTGGGAATTCGGTCTGGGCAGTGGTGAATAAAAAGAAAAACTTTTTCAGCTACCAAGCTTTCGGCAATTTATTCTCGCCTTCTTCAGGGTGCTAACTGTTTGGCCATAAAAAGGCCGGGAACCCTCCAAAATATTATATCATTTTTTATACAGCTTGATAAAGTATTAAATTTTTTAGTTACATTGTTTGGTCATAATTTCTCTGTCTTGGATTATACAAAATATTTACTATTCATATTCTTTCTTTTCTTCAAATAGAGTTTGATATGTGGAAGTCAAATCAATTAGATGTACAGTGCCTTCACCTCATTATTAATTTGTATTTAATGTAGTCGGTCTTGTTATTTCTGCAGAACAATTTGTTGATCGTGAATAACTGTTTTGTGTAATAAGATCAAATATTTTATCAAGCTTTAGAAATTATAGAATATCTGGAGGGTTCCCGGCCTTCTCACGGTCAAACAATTAGAACCCGGAGGAAGGCGACAATAAATTGCCGAAAGCTTGGTAACTAAAAAAGTTTTTCTTTTTCTTCACCACTGCCCAGACCGAATTCCCAAGAAAAATCAACCATCCTGCAATAATATACGTATAGATGAACCAGTTTAAGGGCTGCATAATTCTAATTACGTACTTACTCTACGTTTATTCCTGTTTCCATATCAGAAAAAATTATTTGATTTTTGGGCACAGCAAATATAAAATACAATAAATGTTATTAGTCATAATTCATTTTGTGAGAATTCCGTGGAATATTATTACAATATGAAATTCACAGAATCACATTCCAAAACAGCTAAAATATGAAATAGACCGGGTGAGTCAGTTTATAGTATCAGGACTTTAACAGTGAATAGAAAATCTAATTTTAAGATGATAATATAATAGAAACATATATTGAAAACAGTTTCATTTTTGAGATACAGGATGGCAAAGTAAATATTTTATTTTACTTTTTTTTAAATAGTTTAAGCAAATCTTAAGATAAGTTAAATTAAGGTAAGTAATAAAATTATATATTCTAGGACTTATAGCAATACCACATCCACTCGTGTACAAGTTTTCGTCCAATTTACAGAGGACGCCACATGGCACTAATATTAAATTTTTAAATAATAATAACTTTTTGTGCCTACTAGTATCAAACTAATTTTAAAATAAAATAATTTTCCGTTAATATCTGCGTAAGAAACGTATTCTAGAAAGATATTTTGAAAAAACATTTTAAAACAAACAAAAAAAAACAAA